CTATGCCCTTGAGGGGAGCATTGCCGTTGCTGGATCTGGGATCAAATTCTTGCAGAATAACTTGAATTTCTTTCAGGAGTCTAAGGAGGTCAATGACCTTGCCTACTCGGTGGATGACAATGGCGGATGTGTGTTTGTCACTGCCTTTAGTGGACTTTTTGCACCTTATTGGATTGATGACGCCAAAGGAACAATCTGTGAGTTTCTCATTACCTGACTGTTATATTTTATCTGACAGTTTATGCAGTTGGGATCACCCAGTACACCCAAAAGGGTCATATCGCACGCGCTACCTTAGAGGCAACTTGCTTCCAGACTAAAGCTATTCTCGACGCAATGGAGAAAGACAGCGGACATACACTCTCCGAACTGGCTGTAGATGGAGGTATGAGTAACTCAGACTTGGCAATGCAGGTAAATAATTACATGTTCTTCTACATCGACGAGTGTATGAGAATTGATCTAATCTCAAATATAGACTCAAGCAGATCTGATATCCATCCCCGTCTACCGCCCCGAGATGCGAGAGACTACAGCTCTCGGTGCAGCAATTGCAGCAGGTCTTGCAGTTGGTATTTGGCGCAACTTTGCCGAGCTACGCGATATCAATCGTTCTGGTGGTGCCGTCTTCGAGCCCCAGGTCCCGCTACAAGAGAGCGCTGCCAAATTCGCACAATGGGAAAAGGCTGTGCAAATGTGTAAAGGCTGGGTGGGATCTAAGAGCACCGAGCAAGAAGAAGCCGTTGATCCGACCAGCGAGACATATGCACCGGCGAAGAATCATCATCTCCCTCCACCCAAGGCAACACCAATCTCGAATAATTCCTTGATCTCCAATGTTGTTAAGAGCTTTACATACACTACCGCGGTGAAGAAGAGGGCTCATGTCTCGGTCAAGGAGATCGAAGTCCCACCTCCACCTGTACAGACGGCACTAGGAAGTGTGTTGGGTGATTTGGATGATGCAGATGAAGAGGATTTGTTCTTGGAGTTGCGGAAAGTCGAGATTTTGCAAAGACTTAGGAAGCTACGGAAGCAGTCAAATAGTTACTAATTGTATTTCTATTGGATTCAGTGTTGGTTGTATCCCAATATGGCCACGGACGTATCAGACAACGCAACGTATCCAAATGACTTTCAAATACCTGAGAAGCAAACCGAGGCTCTGCCAAAAGGGGCTCTCTCAACCGTAACATCTCACCCGGGGTATGTATCACGGACACTCTGGTGTAGGGGTCTGCAGGTTGGGCCAACGCCGCCACTCTTGACACAGTTCTGTCTCGAATCCCGACCTATCGGGGTATCCCTCGTGACAAGCGCTTTTTATTTGCATACAGTATCTTTTTCAATGTCATTGGTCACCTTTTCGGTGACCTGGGATGATTATGATCGTGACCCGACGTGAGAGTAGCTATCTTTTAACCCCCTTCCCGTCTAATAGAGAATGCTTCTCATACGGCTGGCTCTAAAGAACCAAAGGGTTAGAAAAATTCCCCGTCATAGGACTGGGTATCGTGTTATTGGAAAGGCTTTCAGCAACAAGATTTCTGGCAGATGATATACCCCCATATCCATCTGTCGAAGTGATTGCACCTGTCGAGGAACAGCAACCCATCAAGGTGGTTCCACCAGTTGAGGAGATTCAGTCAATCAAGGAATTCCAGCTGTCGTGGAAAAATGACTAGAATGGTGTCGCTGTCGCGAGAACTTGTATAGGTAGCTGATTGCTGGATTGATAGGAGGTTGTTATTGGAGGCACTCTTCCTCTGTACAAGTTGTGTAGTTATATTAGGGTTTGAAATCAGAAGTGGGGCTATGTGTAGGGCTTATAGGTCTTTTTTTCTAGAGTATGCCTTTTCTTTAGGATCTTCGTATTGACTACTAAAAATGCAAGAGCAATAAAAATTCCAGCTTGTTCCAAAAGCTAAAGCCAAGGCATAGATTCGTGTCTCAATATCACATATAATAGCTCGAGAATCAACTACACACGGCTCAAACAGCACTCAACTGAGCAGCACTGCGCGCACCCTCTTCACCCTCCTTGAGGAAAACGCAATTCAACTCGGAGCCAGGACTGAGGGTAACTTCGAACCGAAGCACCGGATCTTCAACTGTATCTTTACCGCCAACCGGCAGCGCAATAATGCGCTCATAAGCCTGCAAAATCCGAATAACAGTGTATCCCATCTCAATAGTAGCAAACTGCTGCCCAATACAAATCCGTGGTCCGCCATTAAACGGAATGAAATGCCACGGCTTAGGCTGCCAGCCGGAAATCCACCGCTCAGGAATGAACTTCCCGGGATCGAAGTAGTTCTCCGATTCCGGCCCGTCATACAAATCAGGATCCCGCTGCATCAACATCGTCGAGTAGATGATCCGCGAATTTGCGCGCACGCCCACAGGCGCTCGCCCGTCCGGCCCACCGCCGCGTGGGAGCGTCGTATCATGTAGAGAGTAACGCACGTTGAATGGCACGACTGGGTATAAACGCATCGTCTCGTGCAGCACTGCGTTAAGGTACTTCATTTCCTTGAGATCAGTGTAGCTGGGTTTCTGGGCGTTGGCACCGACGCCGAGTCTATCACGGATCTCATCGCGCAGCTTGGCGACGAGTTCTGGGTTGCGCGATAGCTCGAAGAGACAGAAGGATAGTGTGGCGGCTGTTGTATCGCGACCTGCGAGGAGGACGGCGACGAGTTGGTCACGGAGGACGCGGGGATCACGGGTAAAGCTAGCTAGGGCGTCGAGGAAGGTCTCGCTCTTTGAGAATTTCTCGTTAGGTCCATTGGCTGAATGGGCGAGGACGGCTTGGATGTATGGCTGGATGAACTCGTCCATTATCTTGAGGTTCTTGCGGAATTCGGTGCGTGACATGGCGTAGCTAAATACTCTATTTTAGGGTTAAATGTTAGATTGGGTTCTGTGAGGCTCCAATGACAAGCTGCGCTTGCGTCACACAGGATCGAGTATCATCACTCACCCGAAACGGAAAAACTCCGCTTGCCGCTGTTGTACATATCTGAACGCTTCGGCGAACCGTGTTGCTGGGTTATCTAGACTGTCGGTGCCCTTGCCGAGTAGGTAGTCTGTTGCTGCATCCAGGGTATACCGGAAGAAGAGTGACCCGACGTCCACTACCTTGCTGCTGCTGGGCGAGTCGCTCCCGCCAAGAAGGGGGATGAGTTTCTGAACATGCTTCTCAAAGATTTCTGTGTCGACGATGCGGTCACGCACAAACATAGGACGGATGAGCTGGCGGGAACGAGACCATAGTTCTCCGTCTGTGGCAAAGATGCTGTCGCCTAGGAACTCCTTCCACTCTCGGTGGAAGGACTCACCCTTTCCGTAGTCGGCGAACTGACCGGTGAGAATCGCCTTGATGTTCTCTGGGTCCTTGGTGAGGACCATACGGGTGGAAATTCCAGCATCAAGTTCGGCTGTCTTCAGATTTGTCAGGCCACCTGCTTGTCCAATTTGTGCATCCCAGAATTCCAAATCGCGGTTCACTTGATTGGCTTGGTAGCCTTGGAATATGAAGTCGAGAGCGTATGGGAGATGGAACTTAATTTTGGGAGCTCTGACACCGAGCCGGGCGATTTGTGCTGAAGCTTGGAACTTGCGGAAGACGCAGAATGCAACAAATAGCCCTAGAACCCATAGTGAGGCCCGACTGGGTGTCGTCCCTACGAAAAGGTCTTCAATCATGGTGCCGTTGAACTGGACCAAGTTGGGTTTAGTCTGTTTTCCGGCTTTGAGGGGCCACGTTCAGATAGGCAAAAGAACTGATATATTTGGTATATGGCAGGGAAGGCTAGCTTATGAAGACGAATTCGTCAAACAATGCGGGCCGTAAGGGTTATAGCGTGCATCAATCCGGGGCCACAAGCACCCCAGTTCTTCAAATGACCAATGATGTGTGTTCCCCATTATCCCAAACAGGTGTACGGAGTAGATGGCCGAAAGGAGCGGTCCTTGCGAACCCCGCATTATGTGACTTCATGGTTCGCTCATCCACCGTATTGCTTGGAGATGTGGATAATCTATCAAGTACTGCAATACGGGGCTGGGCTAGGCACAGATCCCTAGGTCCAATTGTGGTCTCTTCATGCTGTATAAAGTATGTATATTTGTGGGGATACCCGACGATCTGGGGAAGATGCAGGGAGACACCTCGGTAGACAGGGTTGATGGCATATGATTCCGAGAGTGAAGATCGACAACGCTTTATGAACGGCCTGCAGCCACATAGACGTATCTGCACTGCATATTATTATGCACATGCATGTGTTAAAGCCTGATACCTCAGGCACAAAGCATTGGTGCCTCAGGCCAATATACCTGGAAGCCTTGAGACAACTACTACTCCCTTCTCGGATATCACTTGACCAGTGAGTTCTTTGTCTGGATATTTCTCTTTGTGTAGAGAAACCCCATTTAGCCTATTCACCCCATTCACAACAACACAGCTCAATAACTTAGTAGCAGAACAATAGCCATTGTGAATATATAAACCTGAATCTTAGTAGTTGCAAATTCCACTCCTTCTGATTCTTTCAACAGCTCATCATTTTTATCTCTTCCATCTGACCATCAAGAAATGATTCAATAGAAGCAAGGGCTCTTTTTTGATTGATATTAACAGAATCAACCTCGACAGCACGTGCGCTTGTTTGCACTGTATGTACTGCCCCACCTCACCGCCGGACAGCCACATCCACGTGATCAAACGTCCGTTTTGGTCATCGGGTCTTTAGCTTCACCTCAATCTGCTTGCTAAAGTCTTGCTTTCTCTACCAGAACCTGTTATTGGTCTATCAACCTCACTTCTAACCCAAACTCCTCCTACATACCGTTTTCATCGCATCTCCATTGTTAGTTGCGCCGATAAGATCCGAAACGCCTTTATCGGGTGGCGCAAGTTCTTTTATCAGCACTGCTCTCTTTGTGAATTTCTCACCAACCCGTCACTTTTTCCTCACTTCACAATCGCCTTCGCCATGCTTCCTCAAATTACTTTGGGAACGCCTCTTGCGCAAGCAGTCGCAACTGTCATCCAGCCGAAATTGGTGGAGATGGGCTGGAGTGATAGCCTTGAGTCACCACTGATCGAATACATCGTTCTGATGCTGGTCAATGGCAAGACCGAAGAGCAAATCGCCACCGAGCTCTCAAATGATTTCCTCGGCCTCCAGGAAGGCGATACTGCGGCTCTCGAGTTTTCACAATGGCTTTTCGCCCAAGTCGAGATGCTCAACCAACAAATCAATGGCGTTGCTCCAGCCTCGACCGATGCTACTATGGGACAGTTGAACCCTTCGGCAATGGAATTCGATAACTCAGCTCAAGCGATGGCCAATCCATTCGGAGAGGCTAACGGCCAGGATGCCGAGATGGGCGAGGCAGGAAATGAGTCAATGTAGGTTTTTTTTTACCATGCCTTTCTACTGATGTCTACAAAATGCTGACGGTGCTCCTCGATAGCCCCACCGGACCGAAAGCGATGCGTAACGGCAGAGGCGGCAAAGGAAGAATGTTGAACCAAATCAATCGAAACCTGGATCGCGGTTCGGATGCAGCTCTGCACCGTGTGCGCGGACAAGGAAACGGGCGCATCGGTCACAATGGCCGGGGTCAAATGAGAGGCGTCGGACAGCAAAATGGTCGTGGTGGCCGTGCCATGGGAATGCCAGGGAGCCCCATGATGCAAATGACCCCCGAAAGCCAGATGCAGCTTATGTCGATGTTGGAAGAACAGGCCCGGATGATGTCTCAATTTATGCCTGGCTTCATGCCACCTGCCGTTAACCCCGCTTTCCAAACTGGTTCCCAGAATGGCCCTCAAGGTCGTTCGCTCTTCAATCGGGTCGAGCGAGGTGGCCAGCGTGGAGGAAAGCGCGGTGGCGGCTACAACAAGCCAAGAGCCGCAGAAGGAGCAGATGTGGATATGGACAGCACAGCTGGTGGTGAACAGGATGAAAGCAACCCCGACAGTGTTTGTCGCTTCAACCAACGATGCTCGCGCCAGGATTGCCCGTTCGCCCATCAATCACCTGCCGCCCCCGAAGGCACTTCAATCGATCCTTCTGATACTTGCTCATTCGGTGCAGCTTGCAAGAACAAGAAATGCACCGGACGCCACCCTTCACCCGCAGTGCGATCCGCCCACCAAGCAGAGGCCATGTGTCGGTTCTTCCCTCACTGCACCAACCCCACCTGTCACTTCAAGCACCCAAGTATGCCAGTCTGCCGCAATGGAGCCGACTGCAAGACCGAAGGATGCAAGTTTACACATGTCGAAACTGCCTGCAAGTTCAATCCCTGCCTGAACCCCAAGTGCACCTACAAGCACGCCGAGGGTCAGCGCGGTGCTTACACTGACAAGGTGTGGACCCCACGCTCTGGAGAGCATGTCAGCGAGCGCAAGTTTGTCACGGATGTGGATGGACCCCAGGAGTTGATCAAGCCGGATACCGAGGAGAATACTCAGAGCCATGAGGTGACCGCGTGACTCCGCCTGACATGACCAAATGAAGAAAATCCACTGTTCAAAACCAAAAACCCAGAAAAAAAAAACATCCCACAACAGTTTGTTTTCGAAGCGAAGAATACCATATGTACAATCCGATCTTGATCAATGAACGAGGAATGGCTGGAGGGAAGGGCGTTGATACTCTTTATGCATTTGCTTTTGTTTCAGATACTATTATCTGTCCTGTTCATAGATTCCCCCGTTGATCTTCACAAGAATAATACGAACGCGAAGACAAATTCGCGAATGTCTCATGAACCTTTGTGCAAGCTTGTAGGGTTGTAGAGGACCTGCGCTCCAGGGCTCCACTGGGTGGGCACCCCGCGTAGCTTAAGTAAGGACGGAAGCTTCCGAGGACCTTGAGATTTAGCTTTGATTCATCAACCAGCCCCAAACCAAACCTTGCTCTAATCAGTAGAGATGCAGCTACCATATGTCTCTCGAGCACTACGACCACGAAATAGGCAATTGAATCTTCTCCTCAATGGTCAAAAACGCACATACACAGCCGCCGTGCTTGGCGGTGGCATCACCGGTCTCACAGCTGCCTGGCAACTCGCGCAAGACCCCACATGCAAAAGAATCGTCCTGTTCGAGAAAACGGACCGGCTCGGTGGTTGGATCGACTCTGAAACAATCCCTGTTGATGGAGGCAATATCGTGTTCGAGTACGGGCCGCGGACGTTAAGAAGCTCGCTGCCAGGGTCACTCCCTCTGCTTTACCTGGTGAGTATTGCTCCCGTGTACGTACTCGGAATTGAAGGGCTTTGATATGCTAATCCCTGTGAAAGGCTACAAATCTAGGCTTGTACAAAGACCTCATTGTTACCCCGAAGACGAGCCCCGCGGCCCAGAACCGCTACATCTACTACCCGGATCGCCTCGTTCGCTTGCCGGCGCCGAAGCCTGAACTTTCTTTTGGGGAGAACTTGGACAGATTCGTGAATACTATGAAGGAGCCGCTATTTAACAAACTTCCTTCAGGGATAATAAAGGATATCTTCGCTCCATCCCGGCACCCGACTGAATGGGCGAAGGATGAGTCTATCGCGGACTTCATCGGACGTCGTTTTGGCCCCAATGTTGCAGATAATCTAGTCTCGGCTGTGTACCACGGAGTCTATGCTGGTGATATCGATCAATTGAGTGCCCAGACAGTGTTGGGTAGCATCCGCAACCTCGAGGGAGGCATTGGGGGTATCGGCGGGTTTGTTTCTGGCGGAGTTACGGCGTCTCTTATCTCCAGGTCGATCTCCAAAACAAAGACTCGGAATATGGATGATTTCATGGCCATAGACGTCATAGCCGCAGGTCCTGAATTAGTGCGGCGTCAACACGATTTAGAAGTCCTTGCAGCTGGAGCTAGTACTTTCACCTTTAAGAGGGGAGTTAGCCAGCTTATTGAAGCACTGATCGCTTCGTTGGAAGCATCCGGCAAGATCAGCTTCCGAATGAACACTGAGATCAAAGCTTTGAGTGCAATTGACGGGAATTGGATTGGGGTATGTGAATTCTTCTGCACTGCCATGCTATATCCCTGAGCTCCCTCGGCCCCGGGAGTAATGCTGACTGTCAATAGATGGAATATTGGTCACCCAGACACGGTCAAATCAAGACGTTTGATTATAAATATGCCATTTCCACTATCCCTCCAGTTGCACTTGCAAACGTCCTGCGCGAAACCAGTGATAGAAAGGTCATTCCTGTCGGGCTGACCCCATCCCTACTACGCAAACAGAACTATGCTGTGACGGCAATGGTCGTCAATCTCTATTACCCAAATCCCAACCTTCTGCCTGTGGAGGATGGCTTTGGATACCTCATACCGCGCTCAATACCCTACGAGCAGAATCCAGAATGTGGACTTGGCGTCATTTTCGCCTCGTCCTCTAGTGTAGGAAACGGAACGGATCCTGAGTCATCTGAAGTCAGCCAAGATTCCGTACCTGGAACGAAACTCACCGTCATGCTAGGTGGACATTACTGGGATGGCTTCGAAGAGTATCCAGACCACGACACCGCAGTGAAAATGGCCCGCGACATGCTCAAGAGACACATGAATATCACCGATACCCCAACTGTCGCACGGAGTCGTCTCCAGAAGGATGCCATTCCCCAGTACACAGTCGGCCACCTGGACCGCATGTATAGGCTCTCGGACACAGTTCGCAATGAGTACAAGGGAAGGCTTATTCTCGCAGGGAACTGGTATAATGGCGTAGGTGTGGGCGACTGTGTCAAGCAGGGTATCCTATCTGCCACCTACGGCATTGGAAGGAGCCGGCTCAATGGCGAGCCTAGTCCGTGGCGTCCGTGGACTTCCTTTGATTATGAACGCTGGAGACTAGAGGGTGGCATTGTGATGCCTCCTGTTCGTCTGATTGACTCCAAAATCTGATGCTATGTGACTGGTTCACGGGGTTTGCCTACTTGTACTTGGGAATGTACGCGAGAGAAGGTCCAAGCTATGTATAATAAATGTATCTTTGTAATGATAGTCCTTTTCTTGTTCAAAGTTGAAAATCGACGGCATTGGCCGGATATCAAATGCTCAATTTCTAATTCTAACTCAACTGCCAGCCAGCCCATGGTCGGTCCACAAAATGTTGACCATTTGTGAAGTCTGCTGCCATCTTCATGTTTGATCCCATCAGGCACAAGGGCGAGAGCACCCAGACCCCCGATTGAGGGAATGACGGGGAGATGTGACAGCATCCGGAATTCCTCACAGGCGAAGCGATGGGCGATTGGAAGGCTGGAACCGATTGGTTGCAATGTGCCCTGCCATATAGGTAATAGTATTTCTCACGCCCCACTTCCAATCACTTGCCACGATGATGTGGCATACTCTGATAGCTCCCAACAGATGTCGTAGGGTGTTTGCAGGAAGTCCTAATGACAATGCTATGCATATTGGCATATACTCGACACATGGATATGGGACTTAAGACTTTGATCTGACTCCGCGTGTGAAGGTTCAAAAAGGCATTCAAGCATTCTCATTGCTGTCACCATTCTTCTTGTCGCCATTGGAATCAAATCCCAACACATCCAGCTGCCGAACAAGTTCCTGAATTTTGATGACTTTCTCCAACTGCTCGGGTAACAGGGCCTCTCCCTGCTGCTTCTTATCGCGAAGATCCCGCGCCTGGCGGAGCTTCTTCTTCAGATTGCGAGCTTTCTTCTCCTTCTCGGCTTCGAGATCGACAATCTCTTCGGTAGGTGTTTCTTGCTTCTTAGGTGCAGGTGCGGGGACACGCCAGTTGTTTGACTCTGCGCCCTTGCCCTCGGCGGTCGGACCGGCTTCTTCGGTTTCCTTCGCATTCCGCTTGGCCTCGCGGCGTTTAGCGTTCTTGTTGCTGGCGGCAGTAGCGGTGGTGGTTGTGGGGATCGCGGCGGTCTTGGTTTTGTCGTCTTCGCTGCTCAATGTTTCCGCACCCGGCACCCCGCCTTTTGCGCGGGTCTTCCATGCTGCCGCTGCTCGGTTCTTGTAAAGTTCGATATCCTCGGGGGGCTTGTAGCCGGGGCGCACGCGGATCTCCTTGCGTTTGGAGCCATCAGCACGGACTGAGGAGGGAATGTATCGTTCGCCGGTTTGGGCATCGGTGGTGATGCCGGACCTGGCGACGTTTGAGGACATGGTGGGTGGTGGGTAAGGTCTAATTTGGGTAATGAATCTGGTAAAATACAGAATATGTGATAGCAGCTTGACAGAGTCAAGCTCCAAGGCAAAGATCAATATCTTTAAAGATCGAAGGTGAAAAACAACGCGGACATTGAAAGTTGAGTGCGGAAGGCCGGAGGCTCGGCCAATCAGCGGACCGGCAATTCCCGCAGATTCAGCCTTCGCAACTTCAACCTCACAACTTCAACTCTCGTTGCCCCATCCTCCTGTCCAATCCTTTAATTTAGGTCGTGTGCAAACACCCCAATCTCTCACAATGGCCGGCGTATGTCTATCATTCCTTCCAGTTCTCCTGTTTGCACTGCTACGTCCAATACTGACTGACCTCTCGCATGACAGCTCGCAAACGTTATCTACTCGCATGTCTCCCCTTCCTAGGTCCTATGATCGCGATCGAAATTGTCCAATTGAAATCTAACCGAGGCACTCTTCGCTGCGTTTAGGACCTTCATGCGCAAGAACACTGTTCTCCTGACCACTGCTTTTGCCGGCGCCTTCGCTTTTGAGCTGTGGGTTACATCCGGTGTCCGAGCATGTCTTGACATGCTCTACAGCTTGCACAGAATACTGACCATGCAATTTCAAAACAGTGCCTTTGATATCACCTCCAACAAGGTCTGGGACAGCTGGAACCAGGGCGTATGTGAACCTCTTTTCCCGATGGACTACAATACCCGAGGCTAGGACCCACGCTGACTATTTCTCTCACCTTACAGCGCCAATGGAAGGACATCAAGCATCGTTATATGGTTAAGGAAGAGGAGGATGACGAGTAAATTGGACTTGCAGAAAGTGATGTTGGGTATATCTTACCGCGGGTAAAGGGGCACGGAAAAACCAACCGAAGCTAGTGCCTGTTATTTCTCATCCCATATGTGGGCTTGTACGCGATAGATGGAAATCTGTATTTTGACTTTCAATCTCTTTTTAAAACTTCAAAATGTTCAGTGGCGTGTTGGAGGTGGTTAGGCACGTAGCGTGGATGTGGCGTTTACAGAGACAGACCGGTTCCATCGATGTCATAACGAAAAATGTTCCTTTCCGGTCTCAACAAACACTCCTAATTTGATTTCTCTTGTATTTATTTTTTGACCTTCAGGATCGCTTGAGCTCCACATTCAAATTTGATCGCGTATGACTTCACCGTATCTGTGCCAATCTGCTCGCCTGCATTGGTCCACCCTCACCCGTTGCTCTTCTTCCCCCCACCAAAGTATCAGTGTGTGAGCAACGCGAACTCCATCTGAGAAGCCTACTCGATCCGGCCGATCTCTTGAATCTTCACTTGAAATTT